GACTGAGAGTTCGAACCCTGCCAGTCGAAGACTCCCCGCGTAGTAAAGTGACTGATGCACATTAAATCTGTCGAGTCGCAAAAGTCCTCCATTCTCCCATAACAAATCATTACCTCTGGAGGTACTGGATTGGAGATCGATCGTTCTCTGATTCAAGTCAAAATTACGATTTGTGGATGAATGAATGGGTCTGCCATATAAATAGGTGTAATGTATGATGCGGCAGAAGTCGAATTCTTGGCCATAGATGGCGCCACTGAAAACAAGAAACGCACAATCTGCCTTAAATTTGCTCGGTTTCACCCAGCTGGCTTGCCTGTGTGGCAAGTAGCATTAGAAACAACAACAAACATGAAAACTTGATCACACCAACATATCAAAATTTTTTTAAACAAAAGAAAATTATTTTCTCACAATTAAGACTAGAAGAGTTAAACCGAAGGAGTATAATTACACAAATTTATAACGAATAATTTAACAATAAATAAGGAATCAGGTTGAAACAGAGAAAAGAAATTGAATTACAACATCTTTGGAAATTTAATCACCAATTCATAATTTAATGATAAAATATAGAACAGAATCCATTATAAACTATCTCCTATTTAAAGAAATCCCAAATTTAATGAGTAAAAGTCTTGTTAACAATATTGTTAAAAATATATTAGTGTACTCTTTTAGAAAACAATATCTTCATATTCTTGAACTGAATGGGAAAAGAAATTTTGAAAGCACAAAATTTTCAACCAAATAATGAAAAACAAAAAAACATTCAAAATCATATAATCATATTTTATATAATTATTGCAAAATAGGTTTCATTATCAATAATTGTATTTTTCAGTGAGAAATCACGATGGAAGTACCAAAAAGGTATGAAAAAGCAAGAGGTAGAAATTTTATTAATATACAAATATACTGTGTTGTAGAGTAATTAGAAAACATTGAATATTTTTTTGAAGAAAAATACAAATGGAAAATTTAATGATTCAAATGTTTTATGATTGAATAAAAACAAAATTCTATAAAGCAAAACAATAAAGGTTAAATATTTTCGTTTTTTAATAAAGATCATAATGGAGCAATTTTGACAAAGTTTTAAACTGCACTTAAGTCTTTTGTACTAACCCTAAATCAGGGTGCGTAGTCAGTTTTTCAATTAAAAAAAAAAGCACCTTTTAAGCACTCAAAAATATTTTTAATCACCTTCCCAAAAAAAATATCATAATTAGGATCTGTGCAGTAATAAAAATTATTTTTTTCTATCCTTTAAAGTACTTAATTTATAAACATAAAATCAATAAAATTAAATAATATTTTTAAAAACTTGACATAATTATGATGATATAACTAGTTTCTGATAAATACTGCAGAGAAAATTTTAAAAATAATGCAATTTTTGTAATTTAGAACAACAATCGATACAGCAAATAAAAAATCTCTTTTTAAAAGATAGAAAATTAAGCACTTTTTACAAATGCCGAATAAAAAAAGCACCTTTAAGGGCCTTTAAAAAACTCAAATAAAAAAATAAAACACCTTTAAGCACTTTTTAAAAACGCTATGTACCCTGTAAATTTATTGAACATGATCTTTGCTATGTTTCATGAGCGATTGGATTTAATGAGCATTCCGTTTTATGAGCTGGGCAATTTCATATGTGACGGAATGACATTTTGACTTTCAAAATAACAATTAATTGAAGTTTCTATGCATCCAATTTCAAATGAACATTGTTTTTTCTCATGCATATCATTACTATTGGCAAAATGCAATTCATAAACTAAAAAAAAAAAGGATTTTCAATTTTTTTTATTTTTAATTTTATGAACTTTTTATTTATGTGACGGAATGACATTTTGGCAACCAAGCTTTTGGCATGTCACTTAGAACTGGTAGTTTCTGCGAATTTTGCAGCTATTATTTTTCTGAACTATTTTATACTTTTAGTATAATGTGTAAGCAATGTAAAATGTGAATTTGGAAAATTTACCTCAGGTTGGCTAGCAGCTATTGACATCTATTTGCTGTGACGGAATGACAAAAAGTTTAGTGGAAGAAAGTCTTTATTTAAAAAATGTTTTATTAATATGTAAATGATAAACAGAATGTAACAGATAAACAGGATTAATATTTATGTAAGAATTAGTAAAATTTCAACAATTTGAAAATTATGTTGTCTCTGAAGAGGTTTTATATTTAACTTACCAATGTCACATCTTATCTTCGCTCTCAGGAAATTTTTGCATAAATCAATCTTTGTTCCCTCTTCTTTTTAGTACTTTAACAGCTAAATCATCTTTGTTTATCAAAGTAATTTGCGCCACATATAAATGTTCCTTTTTTTTTTCGAGGTATGGAACAATGATATAAGAGCCGACCGCATACTCCTCAGTCATGCTTTCCATTTCTCTTCACGACAGTGGCTTTTCAAATCATAAACTTGGTTTTGGTTAAAATTAGAAAGCATTCCAATTTTGATGATTCACTTCTCAATTACATGAACGTATAGTGCATGTCTCTTGTCCCTGGCAATGCTGCTGTAACAAGTGTCTAGCTGAAGCCATTCTCTTTTGCCCTCTCTTAAATGGAATAGCTGGGCAAAAACAAAACTTCAACGATTTGTTGCTTCGACTTTTTATATAATATGCAATAGAATTTTATTATTTCATAATGTGCCGTTTTAAAGCAGACAACATCTTGTTTGGCCTTTTAGAACAAACTCACATTTACATGGTATTTACAGGTTCATGTGTTGTGAGGTATTAATGAANTTCAACAATTTGAAAATTATGTTGTCTCTGAAGAGGTTTTATATTTAACTTACCAATGTCACATCTTATCTTCGCTCTCAGGAAATTTTTGCATAAATCAATTTTTGTTCCCTCTTCTTTTTAGTACTTTAACAGCTAAATCGTCTTTGTTTATCAAAGTAATTTGCGTCACATATAAATGCTCCTTTTTTTCTTCGAGGTATGGAACAATGATTTAAGAGCCGACCGCATACTCCTCAGTCATGCTTTCCATTTCTCTTCACGACAGTGGCTTTTCAAATCATAAACTTGGTTTTGGTTAAAATTAGAAAGCATTCCAATTTTGATGATTCACTTCTCAACAACATGAACGTATAGTGCACGTCTTTTGTCCCTGGCAATGCTGCTGTAACAAGTGTCTAGCTGAAGCCATTCTCTTTTGCCCTCTCTTAAATGGAATAGCTGGACAAAAACAAAACTGCAACGATTTGTTGCTTCGACTTTTTATATAATATGCAATAGCATTTTATGATTTCATAATGTGCCGTTTTAAAGCAGACAACATCTTGTTTGGCCTTTTAGAACAAACTCACATTTACATGGTATTTACAGGTTCATGTGTTGTGAGATATTAATGAAATACACTTAACAAAATTGAGAATAAAAACAAAAATGAGATAAGACACACTTTAAGCATAAGCATATATTGCATATGCACTTTTCGTTACTCTGCCAGAGTTTGTATTATGACTGAATCCTTCATACTTGGGGGCTTGTAACTAACATCATCTTAACAGTAAAATTTTTCAACCAAATTAAACAGCTCATCAACATCACTTTTCTCACTTAAATTAGTTTTCTTTTGAGCTTGATGTTAAATACATCTCATATAAAGACTGAATTAATTTTTTTACCTCTATTGGTGATTTTGGAAGTGAGTGTACAATTTTTTTTTATGGCTTTACCAAGACTCTGCTAGGATTTGTATAGGGAATTTAAATTATTTGTATGTGAAAAGATTGGTAGAATTTGATTTTTTCCTTGTTTACACAATCTCTGCACAACAGCGTATGCACTTCTGAGTTTTTTAAGTCCAGCTTTTATCACGGAAGCTTTCTTCTCACCCCTTCTTTCTCTGTTTTTTTTTTTATCATATCATGGGGATCTTGTTCCCTTTCAACATTCTATCTGTGTTTCATCAGCTGTTTTAGCTATTATGTTAATTGAAAAAGAAATAATTCCCTAGTTTTTGAAAAAGTTTCTCAAGGACTCGTTTTGTCATTCCATCGCCGAAGATGTGTCATTCCGTCACACTAATTATTGGAAGTTAATAAACAAATACATAAAATTTAATAATTTCTCCTTGATTCTTATGCCATATCTGCTTTATATTCCAAATATACGCATTTTCATTTTGAAAAGACATTGCTATGTAAAAAAAAAGAGACTAAAACATGCGACGGAATGACACAAAAAAAAATTTACTTTTATTTTATATATTAATTTTAAAATGACTTAAAGACTATGTTTTAAAAGTTTAAATTCTGTACTATATGCATATTTTTATCAAAATATTGCAAAAGAAAGATACATTTCTTTTATTTTATAAGATTTTTCAAGAAATTAATTTGAGCACAAATGTGGACAATTCACTAGTCAGCAATGTGATTACTTTAGAATGCTACCAGATTCAAAAAACTTAAAATTATCAGAAATGAAGCAGTAATATATAGACTTTAGCTATTTTTGAACATATTTTTGAAATTAAAATATGTTAATTCATAAAAAAAAAAAATTTCACTTAAAAGTTGACACTTTCGTGGAATTGCCCAGCTTCTTGATGAAAAAAAGGTTCAACAATACTACTTAGAAATCAACTAAGAAGTAATCATTAAGCAATCACTATCCAAGTACGGAATGAACATATACTTTGCTATACATATAAGGCTAAATGACACAAATATTGCTACATAAACAACCAGGTATTTTATTTACATTGCACTAGAGCTCCATAATGAGCTACTAGTGACNGAATGTTAAGCAGCAATATACATAAGCAAGTTTAGATTTCTTAACAAAAACTGATGAGTTAAGCTAATTTTGTTGCAAGGTGATAAAAGATGTTATTAATTAAAATAGTAAACACACAAAACAGTTCGAAATTTTTTTTAAAACTTTTAGAAACAGAATAAATAAAAAATATATAAACGAAACAAAAGGAAAACATCCTCATAGTCTGCAACTTACCTATAGTGGATATAAATGTCGTGTTAAAAGCATCGTCAGAAAATCGAAATAATATACATGTTTTACCAACACCGGAGTCTCCAATCAATAATAATTTGAATAAAAGGTCATAAGCTTTTTTAGCCATGTCACTGATTTAGTAAACAACGCAGTCCCTAAAATGGCTATTAGTACACATTCACTCTCAAACCCAAAACAGATCCGACATTAAAGAATTTATTGTTAATGTTCTTGTTGCCATATTTATTAATTAGAAATTACGAAATATTAAAACCGTGACAGCCGAAGTACTGAATTTCTGTTTGGTAAAGTAAGCACATCCACCTTATTTTTTCTTAGAGACCATTCTTAGTCCCTAAAAAAGTCTCTGCGTTTAATCTTTTTTATGTGCGTCATTTAATAAGCTTAAGATTAATTTATCGATCACATGATCGAGAAACGTATTTGCGTGTATAAGTATAATACAAAGAGAATGACTCCTTAGATGCGCTGCACTTTAGGATCTGTTTTATAGTGACATCTAGTGACAATTAATAGAAGTAAAAGTTTATCAGTACTCGCTTAAAACCATAAAAATTGTTTTTTACAAAATCTAACTGAAAATAAAGAATCTGATTTCGTCAATTCCTGAACATATTTTCCCCCATCTAAGTAAATACTGTAATTGAATCTTGTAAAAGAATATTTTATAATAAACTTACATTAAATATTATACTTTTAACTTAGAAATTAACTTAATCTTTTTATTCGTAAACTTTTTTTTTGAAAAGGTAAAACTTGGTACCTAGGTTAATTACTATAAATAGTAATATCAATTAAAAAAAACAACTTTTATCAATATATTTAAAAATTAATCAATAATAATAATAAAACTTTTGGTCAGTAACAATAAATTTTGCACATAATTTATATTTGAAAAAAATATCGGGGAGATTTGGAAGTGCAAAATAAAAAGTGGTGATAAAAAATTTTCTTATTGAAAGAAATTTTTTTTATATTAAGTTGTTTCTCTTCAGTTAACAATGCTTTTTCTTTCTTTATTGTTTAAATTTTTAGTCAATTTTGTGTACAAAAGTAAGCATCTTAAATTAGCTATTATTTAGAAGGAATTATTTGATCATAAAATCAGACAAAATTATGTAAACAATATAAGGCTATAGAAATATTTATGACCCTAATAAACTTATCTATTGTATTACAAATTTATCTATAACTACAATTTTTTTTTTATAATGACTAACTATATAGCATCAATAATACATTGTAAATCTACATTGATTTAGTGTTTGATTTTTGTTTGTTTGTTAGCAGAAAATTTGGTTACATGTAAATCTGTAACATCATATTATAGAATTTGTTGCACCTTCTATACGATAAAATATACAGTTTAGTTTAATTATAATTTATAATACGCTTAGTAACTTAGCATAATATTTTTAATAGAAGTATAAGCTGAATTTTTTTTTCAAGCGCTCAACAAAATAGGCATTCACATAAAAATTAAATAAAATCAAAAAGGAAAGTTAAATAAAAGCAACTGAATTTCCTTGTTTGTGGCAAAGTACAAAATTTTTAACAAAAATATTTTACTTTTTTAGTATTGATCATAATGGCTTTCAAATATGAAATATTAAACTTAGTATTAAGCTAAAAAAGCTTTGTATATGACTTTATTATGCAGTATGAATCTAAATAAATAATTATCTTCTCAATTAACTGTTAAAAAAAGATTTTAACAAACTTTGTGCTGTTTAATTTTTATCAAATTCGCCTACTTAACACTTTGATTCCAAATTCGATTAGATGAACCATGAAAATCATAATGTGTCTTAACGAGCATCACGATTATCAATTATAATTGTTTTTTTTTCCAATTTAGACATTTTAATCTATTGTAAGTGTTGTGTCATAGAGCATTTTAATTTAAAATGCTTATTTTTAACACTTACCTGCTTCCTAAATCTGAAAAAACATAAAGGGAAGGAACATAGAAGGGAAGGAACATAACAAATTCACCAAACTATTATAGATGCAAGGGCGCCGGCAGTGGGGTGCAAGGGGGTGCACTTGCACCACCCTGCCTTTTTTTAAACAATTAAAGAGTATAAATTTTTTTTTTATTAAAAATATTTCTATTTAAAAGCAAATAGTTAAGCAATTATTGATACATAACAATTAAAAAATTGTTTAATCAAACAAGAATTGTAATCGTCTTGTTAGCTGTCCAAAGCTGTTTATAACGTTTTCAATGAATTCTGAGTCATCTTTGATTCTTTTCTTATGCACACTGAGCATGCACAAACTACTTTATCTCTCGTGAGACATTGTAGTACCGATTCCATGTTTTCATGCGTCGCATTGTACTAAAAGTGCGCTCAATAGTGCACGTAGTAGCTTGAAGAGTTAGGCCAATTTTGATTGCCTCCGCTACTGCTGGATAAGACGGTGTGGCCTCAATATCTAAATCGATGTATTCGAGGGATTCATAAGAATTTTCTCTATTCCTCCATCAAATTCGTAATTTTTTTAAAATATATTGTTAACAATGAAGAAATGTACAGGTATAGGACAAAATAATAGGAACATCTGTGAAAGAATGGAGTCGTTCTAGACCGTCCAATAAGCGACGGGCAGTCGCAAGAATGTGACACCTAGTGGTGATGAAAGGCAAGGTAACTGTCTAGCATTTGGCAATGTGAGATTTGCAAGAGAAAAATCTGTTTCTAGCAAAACGAGATTATGTCTGACCTTAAAAGAGGCATGATAATCGGAGCTCGCCTGGCTGGAGCGTCCGTGTCCAGAACAGCTAACCTTGTAGGTGTTTCAAGGACCACTGAATCAAGGACTCTGTCGGCTTACACAAAGTTGGGTAAGGTGTTTTCGGCGAGGCACAACAGCGGCAGGAAGTCGAAGTTGTCAGACCGTGATAGACGGGTGTTGAAGAGGATAGTCGCTCGAAAACGCAAGACTACACTGCCTGTGATAACATCCAAGATGAATACCCACCTTCAGAACCCTGTATCCATGAAAACTATTCAACGGGAGTTGCATGCTGCTAACATTCATGGCAGAGTAGCTATTCCAAAACCGTTAGTTTCAGCGCGGAATGCTTTGAAGAGACTACAGTGGTACCAAGACCACCTAAAATGGACACAACTGCAATGGGAACAAGTCATCTGGTCTGATGAATCCTCTTTCGCACTATTCCAGACCACCGGACGTGTGTTCGTGTGGCGAACGCCGGCAGAAGCATTTCATGTTGACTGCCTGGTTCCAACCGTGAAACATGGAAGTGGTTCAGTGATGGTGTGGGGCGCTATATCTGCCCGTGGATTGGGGCCTCTCGTTTTCTTGAGGGGCTGGTCAAAGGGGACCATCACCGAAGCATTCTTGCAGATCATCTTCACCCTATGCTTCATACTGTCTTTCCGGGAGAACGTCCTGTGTTCCAAGATGACAGCACCCCTGTTCACACGTCTCACTGTGTTCAAACATGGTTAAATGAGCATAATTATGAAGTGGACCATCTAACGTGGTGTCCGCAGTCCCCTGATCTCAATATCATTGAGCCTTTGTGGGTTTTTTTTTGGTGAAAATAGTCCGTGCTCGGTTTCCTCCTCCACACACACTCTCTGAACTCGAGACAGCTCTGCAAGAGGAATGGCTGCAAATTCCAATGAACTTTGTTCAAGACCTTTATTTGTCAATTCCACGTCGAATGCAAGCTGTCATTCAGGCCAAAGGTGGCCCAACTCCTTATTAATAAAATATTTTAGTTTTTTCACAGGTGTTCCTATTATTTTGTCCTCTACCTGAATCTTGAAAAAAATTAATAGATGAAAGTATATGCAATAACAAAAAAAAACGTAATATCAGAATATTTAAAAAAAAATGGGGGGGGGGTTAGTTTGTTAGACGGTTGCACCCCCTTTAATATTACTCTGCCGGCGCCCTTGTATAGATGCTATCGATACTTACTTAATAGTGGAATTGGGTACTACAGGTTTTGTGTTTAAGAAGCTCTGTGATAAAAGCTACCCAAGATACTCATACAGGAATTTAAGATAGCTGCTGTATTCCTATAATAATTCCTTTATGTGTGAAAACATATAAAATCAAATTATTAATTGTGTTTAAATTTGATTATATTTTCCACGTCGCATTTTTTATAACATATTTATCACTGATAAATATGAAATAAATAGTTAACATGTGTATTTAACATTTTGGGAACGGCTAGTACAACAGTTATTTAAACAAGTGAAATGTTTCAGTTCCTACTTTATTATTATAGACTATTTCTATAGAGAATTTTTAAAAGAAATAGCAATAAAAAAAATAGCAATGGCTCTGCAACTGAGTTTTGTGTATTGACCATGTTAAAGACAAAACAATCGTAGTCTCACAAAAACTGTACATTTGTCTCTCATATATAAAATATTTTATACATATATATAAAAAAAAACTTAGGGTACAATCGCTGAACCCTCCAACCTTTTTGGCATCTGGCTTGGCTCATTGGTTAACCAGATATATATTTTCAGGCCTAAAACCAAATTATATAATTAGTCAATACAGAGCAAAGTTAAATAATTAAAAATTCAGCTCTGCTAAATGAATTGATAAGTATTTAATAATCTTGTGCAGTTTGCATAAGGTTTTGGAAAGAAAAGAAAAAACTCTAGCAAATGATCAAGGGGGTGCGATATTAATAACACTGAGTCATCAAAGCATTAACAAAATGAAAGAAAAAAAAGAAAGTAAAAGAGAGTAATATCACTTTTGAAATTAAAATTCTATAAAACACAGTAAAAGGCATTGAAAAGTAGTAACACTTTTAAGTAACTATCTAAATATATTATGAATTCCAAATGAAATGAGGGACAAGAGTTAATTCAGAGGGATGGTGTGTCTGAAATTCATCATGTGTAAGGATAAATTTCAAACGAATCAGTATAAGAATTTTAATTAAATAAACTTAGTAACAATTTGAATAGAGTATCATACATTAAAATATCATCCTTGTTATGTAATTTTTTTTATTCATTTCAAAAATAAAATTAGCTATTTGTGGCTGTCCTTAATAGCCTGTAAGTACATAAAGAAATATAAGTAGAGGCGCAACATGAAATATCCCAGTAAATAACTGATACCAACTCATTTAATTTAAGTTGCACTTAGTTGTGTCAGAATGTGGAAAATGAAAAACATAATATTTATAAATAAAACAATTCCTCTTTTAGACAGACACTTAAAATTTTATTAGTTAAAGGTTTTGATATCTGCTTCAATTCATAAAGTAGAGCTCAAATTATTAATTTAAAATAAACTATAAGAACGTGAGAACTAAATTTAAATTTAAAACAGAAAATAA